TAGTTAAATGTGCCAGCTATCTGCTCAAGAGCCCTGCAGATCACTGAAATTATGCACTCCTTACCCAAAGACCTGTAAAGGTACACTAAAGTCAAGGCAAATGAGGTTGGAGGGAATCTGAGAGGTTGACCTGCCCATGCACTTTTATGGTTCATACCAGGAGAAAGAGGGTGAACTCTTTTGAAATGGCTGTTCCTTCTTCCCCTTCTCACCTAAGCTCCTGTTTGCACACAAAGAGAAGCACAGGAGGATGGCTTATGGCTGCATCCAAGGCAACCTGTTCTCCTTCCTCAGAAGTGGACAGGAGCTGGCGAGGAAAGACTTTTGTGCCTCTCAGCTCCAGGTTCTGGAGAGCCTTTGGGCAAGACACCCTCCATGGACCCTCCCTCAGGGCTCATCCACACTTCCATTTGTCCTGCCATTTTCCCCAGGATAACCCATGGTTTACTGCTGAATCAGGTCTTTTGTGGATTGACACTTGTTCTGATTCAGCAATAAACAGCAGATTTTTCCGGGTAAAGGAAAACCTATCAGGCCCATGCCTAGAAGTCATGGACTAAAAGGAACAAAATTTGGGGCAAAAGGAAGTGTGGGTGAGCCCTTTCTGGAAAGAGCCATTCTCTGGTAACCATCGCCACACAATTATTATTTTCCTACTTGACCCTAGGAGAACCTCACAAACACTTATTGATCAAGCTGTGCTTTTGGTTCTTAACTAGGGAGAACAGGGCTTTTGAATGTTTAGGAGTTGTGTAAAAGAGGAGAGTTCACCAGAGGAAGCTTGTCATGCAAGGTACACCTGGCAAACTTCCCTCTTCAGCACAACAATTTAAAGGTTCAGGAACCCTGCCCCCTTTTTTTGCATCTGGCCATCCTACTGACCTCAGGGATACCATTCCAAATTTCAGAGGAGGGGAGAGATTTCATGGAGAGGGCTAGACCCACAGCAACCATCCGGTCCAGTGTCAGTGTCTGGCACCCAGAGGAAGCTGCTATGGTTTCAGTGCCACACCATTGCCCACTGGCACTGAGGCCTGGTCTTGCTCCCTGGAGGGGTCTGCTGACTGTGTTATGCAAGGGGCATTATGGGAACCTCAAAAAACAGCAGCTTGTAGCTGCTTTCTGCTGCTGCCTTCAAATAAGCTAAGGACTGGATGTAAAAAGAGTTCCACCATATGGCACTTTGAGAGCCCCTTCAAACCTGGAGCCAACCCAGATAGCAAAAGCAATTCAGTTTGTAGAACCAGCAAACAGGTAAAAAATGGAAAAGTGGACTTGGAGAGGTGCAATGGGGAAGGAGAACTGCCCCCCCCAATAGTGCCCCCACTGATGCTTTCTGTGCTGAGGGGAAGGGTACCTGCTTTTTGCAAGGACAGTTCTCTGCACCCGGTTGAGCACTAGAGGGTGTGTGTGTGATGTGGGAAGCTAATGTATGGACAAGCTTTCCAGTGTTTGCCTGGAAGCAAGCACTGGCACCCTTGGGACACCTGGAACAAGAATGGAATCAATACCATCCAACACATAAAGATCAATGCTGTCTGGGAAACCAACCAGGCTATGCTTGCGCAAAGATAGAGAAAGTGTGTTGGTTTCCCCACCTGGCTCCCTGTTGCCTCTTCCTTGCCAGATTTCACAAACTTATTTGCTCAGCAAACATTTGGAGAACCCTTCATTGAGCTCCCCAAATCATTATCCACTTAGTTAAAAAAAACCCAAGATAATTTGTTACAGTTATTGTGGTAGAATTTATAATAATGTTGGTCAGAGGGCAGGTCCCTGTTGCATCTGGTGCTAAAACAAGAACGGGATGGGGAGCAGGTGCTGTAAGTCCCCAGAATTCTTCTACCCCCCCCCATTTTTTCCTCTCATTGGAAGGAACTCAAAATCATGCTCTTCTAATGGTTCTGTCAGCGCAAGCATTTCAGCTTTTCAGACTGACCACCCCTCTCCTCCCCCTATGCGCTATTCTGAGGGTTCTCTTGATACACACATGGGAAGGCATGGGGGGAGGATAGGAGTGAAAGCCCCACTGCGCTACCAGAAGGTCTTGCATGAGCTTCCACTAGCAGAACTCATTAGTTGAATCCCACCCTAAGGGTCCTTTATGCACAGAGGTGATGCCAATGAGATTTTCAGGAATTTGCACAAGATTAATATTCAACGCAGCAGCCCAAAGAGGAGGACCACTCCAAGGCCAAGAGACGTGCATAAACGTACACATGTGTGACAGTTCATAAAGAAAGAGTGCAAAAAGTATTGTAGTGTCTCAGAAAGTTTTGTGAGCACTTCATATACTGCACAGCTGAGCCCTGACTTAGGACCACATTACAACTGAAGATCAACCTTATCAGGGCTTTCCCGCCCAATCATAACCTACCAGAACTGAGTTCTGGCACCTCTCAGGTCGGCGCCATTGCCTTTATAAGAGAACAAGGGAGGTGTTCATGGTGAGTTCTGGCACCTCTTTTTCTAGAAAAATAGCACTGAATCTTATAAAGGACTACTCAGACTTGAGTTCCACTGTATTTACTACGCAAAAGCCTTTGACTGTGTCGACCACAGCAAACTATGGCAAGTTCTTAAAGAAATGGGAGTGCCTGATATGTCTCCTGAGAAATCTCTATGTGGGACAAGAAGCTAGACTTAGAAATGGATATGGAACAACAAAATTGGGAAAGGAGTAAAACAAGGCTGTTGTAATTGTCTCCCTGCGTATTTATCTCGAGGCATGACTGTATATCGGTTTAGAATTGCACCCTAAATGTGACCTTGCATTTGAGTCTGTGTGCAGGCCGTGATCCTAAATTGTGGGTGGAGGAGGGCTCAATCCTTTTCTTCTATGATGCTGTTGAAAACGAGAGGTAAATTGCTATTTCATCTGAGAAGGTATCCCTGGATTCACTTTGGGTTAGATTCAACTAAAGAGATGCACTCCTGGGAGCCAGCGCAATGAGTCCTGATAGCACAATGGGGATTTCCCCCTCCTCTTCTCCCAGCATGCAAGCATGCCCCCCCAAAAAAACCCTCAAGTGGTGGGGGAATCAGGAGACAACCCGCCAGAGCACTGCACTGAGGGAGGATCATTCCATCAGACAAGCAAAAATGCTGGCATTGACAGAGCCTTCTCCTTAGTGCTACTTGGAATTCCACCCTTTAAATTCTGCAACCTGGAAGGACACAATATAGTGAAAGATGGAAAGGATTTGCTGAGATAATTAATAATTAGAATACAAAAAAGGGAGGTGTGAGGAGGTCGATGAAACAAGTTAATGAAAGATAAAGATATGGGAATATTGGATTTATTTATTTATTTTGCTTTTGTTTTTGGTTTTGATGTATTGTGTGTTTTGTACTCTTTTCTTTTTATTGACTTGTATTGTTTAATTCCTTTTTTCTCCTTTTTTTTCTTTCCCCCCCTGTAATTTTAAATTCTCAATAAATATCATTTTTTAAAAAAATAAATAAATAAATTCTGCAACCTGGGAGCAGAACCAGATGTGACACTACTCCCCCACCCCTTTGGACACCCATGGCTGTCACTGCTCATTCTTCCATCCCCACCTCACCTAATGGCCAGTGTGGGGAGGGGTAACCTAGAGAGCACTGAACCCTGGTGTCCCATAATGTGCCCTCTTCTACTGCATGTTGCCAGGATGAGGCGAGAAAGAGACAGGGAGTGATGGCAGCTCAGCGTCTCTCATTAACATCTTGCTTCACCTGAACCCTCCTCAAAAACCCTCCCAGGTTTTTCTTTCGGCTTTCCTCCAAATCCCTTGGGAGTTTTGCCTGGAGGGGAAACTTCAATTTTGCATCAGATTTCACTTTGCAAAATAAAATGTCAGTTATTTTCGTTTTCGTTAAGCAAATGCTGAACCTGCGCGAGGAGCAGCAAACGAGGCCTTTCCCCCCTCTTTCTACGGAGCAGCAACTGAGAGGAGGAAGCAGGTGGCTCGCAGGGCCACAGGCTCTGGCTGGAAAGGCATCTGGCTGAGGTATTTATAACCGCAAGGAGCCTCACATGAAAAGTGACTAAGAATCAAAGGGCTGTATTTTTAAACAAGCTTTGACGCAAGTGCGAACAAAGAGCTATAAATTAACCACCTACATCCCCCACGCTCTGTGCCTTTCCAGCCTAACAGGATGCAGGGCTGTTGAGGAACTAGGACTGCCTTGTCATCAACACCAAAATAAGACAATTTTTCACCTACTTTTCTGGAGGCCTACTGAAGCTGGAACTCTATATTTAAATACATGTGTAAAAGTTATTTATTTATTCAATTTCTGTCCCACCTTTCCCTCCCAAAGGAGCGCAGGGCTGAGTGGCAAGCACATTGTTAAAAGCAGTATCATTAAAAACCTTCTAAAATAGTTTCTATAGCATTCTAAAAGCAGTTTTAAAAATTCTCTCAGCCAAGGATTTCAGGGTTGCCAAGAACAGTATCTCTCAGCCATCAAATACCTTTGTAAATCAGGATTTATTTATTTTTTAAAAATCCAAAGTCTCCAATAAGGGAGACAGACATATCTCACCAAAGAGGCCGTTCCCCAAGCAAGGAAGAGCCACTGAGAAGGTCCCATCACGGGTCAACAGAAACCAGGCAGCCCTCAGTAGTGGCACCACAAGCAGGGCCTCTCCAGACATCCTCTTTATAGAGCAACTGCCCTGATTTACCTGAATACAGCTTCTGCAGAGGTTAGGTTATATCCGTTCTTTATTGAGTTTTCATTCTGAATTGTTTGTGAGGTGGTTATAACAGGCATTTGTCCTGCATTCATCTTGAATTGCTTGCATGGTGTTTATGCAGCCTCTGGATGGTCAATTGTCCCCACACTTTCCAAACAGCGAAGAGTCTGTTTCTTTTTAAAGTGGATTTGTTGTGCCAGGGCAGGGGCATCCAATGTGGCTTTGGACTCCAACTGCCAGTCAGGGATGATGGGAAGTGTAGTCCAAGGGCATCTGAAGGGCACCACATTGACTACCCCTGTGCTAGGGCGACACAGCACTTTAATCCCCTTTAACTGCACAAGTTCAGTATGCCCTTGAATCCCTCCTGCAAAATAGTGACAGTGAATATGAAGCATAAGTGAAACGTAAATAAATTCTGCAGCGGTCAATATAGATAAGAAAATCCGCGTAAGAGTGCTATCCTATACAAGACAAACTGAACTCAGTGAGACTTACATACCTCACACATCATTTTATTTGTTTGCCACCTTTCCATAGTTAAAATCATGTTCATGTTCAAGACGGCTTACAACATGAAAAAAATTACATACCAAAAATAGTCATAAACTAGGGTTGCCTAGGGAAAACCTGGACATGTCCTCTTTTGGGGGCCCAACATGCCCACCCGAGAGGATTTTTACATTTTAAAGGAAATGTCTGGTTTGGGGGAGTTTTTTATTTTTTATTTTTAAAATAAAGATACAAAGGATTAATATAAATAACAGCCACAACCCTGCTCCAACAACCCTCCCCAGCCCAAGAGTCTGTTCAGCAGCCTCACTTTTTGTAGCTGGAGTCAGTCAGCCCACACTCTCCCAGGTCAAGCCCTGCAAGGCAGGGAGCAGGTCTTCCAGGAGTCACATCCAAGACTTGCTCCCAAATAAGAGAGTAGAGGATACTACTTTTTTCAGTTATCAGAGTAACATAACTAAGTCTGCTTGTCTCGGGAAATAGCAAAGATATACCATATGTGCAGCATGTATACTCTGGTCCCTAAAAGTTGCACCTCATTCCAGCTTTCAAAATTGCATGAAATATTTTTGTTGTCATAAGGACTAGAAATGTTTGAGTGAAAGATGGGATCTCAGGTTGATTAATTCAGCCCCTCAAAACCTGTTCTCTATATATCACTTACAGCTTTGTCTTTCCCTGTTCCCTGTTTTCAGTCTAGCAAGGAAAAAAAAGATTATCTTCCATTGCAATTTCTTTGCATCCATAAACCTATTAAAAACAAATATTAATAAAATCACCATCATGAAATTCAAATATAAAATCAATAAAACTTTTAGAAGAAATATTGGTAGCTAAAATCATGCTTGCTGCAACAGAGAAAGTTTTCAGCAGGCATGTAAAAAACACTGTGATGAGGCTGCTGACTAAAGAGTGCAGGTGCTGCAGCCACACTAGAGAACCATCTCCTCACAAATGTGGAACAGACATTCTGAGGCACTTGTAAAAGTGCAGGTTCCACAGATTGAAGGATCAGATAAATGCACATTTGGGGCAAGGTGAACACCTTTATTTTAACTGCAAGATAGACCCAAAAGAGAAAATAACAGAACACCACTAGTAATCACATGCAGCTCTCAATCAGAGATTCGCAACATCTCTTAGATAATGGCAGCTCTCTTTCCCAAGCTCTGGGAGAAAGACCTTTCATTGCCTACAGAAAGCCACCCAATCTTAAACAGCTCCTCACACACAATAGTACAACAAACAGACTTAACATGGACACTGGCACAAGAGCCTGCAAAAAATCTAGATGCCAACTTTGCTGCTACATCATTATTGGCCCCAATAACTTCAAACATACCATCTCAGGCCTATTTAATTGTTCATCTTCCAACATTATATATGCTATCAAATGCCAACAGTGCCCTTCAGCTCTCTATACTGGACAAACAGGACAAACTTTATGCCAAAGAATAAATGGGCATAAATCTGACATCAGGAATCATAAAACAGAGAAACCAATAGGAAAACACTTCAGTCTTCCAGGACATTCTATACAAGATCTTAAAGTAGCTGTCTTATTGCAAAAGAATTTTAGATTTACATTTAAAAGAGAAGTTGTTGAATTACAATTCATTACTAAATTAAAAACTATGGAGAGACCTGGTCTGAATAGAGATATTGGGTTCATGTCCCATTATACATGCTAAAGCTAATTTTGGTCATCTATCCCTTTAAAAATGCCTTGCCCTTCCCTGTGGAACCAACTGCCATAACAGTCATCAACAGTTATAAGGCTGAAGCGACCTCTGCTTCAGAGTATCTGACAAAGTGTGTATACACACGAAAGCTCATACCTTGAAAGCTTATATTTAGTTGATCTTAAAGGTGCCACTGGAATTATTAAAAAAAGTTTTTTTTTCATCTTTCACCTTGTTATTTATTATGGTCCCAAGCTCTTAGTGGTACCATTTTGCCTCAACCTGAAGGTGTCTTTTGAAAGCTCCATGGCACCAATGCAGTTATGCAGCCACTTTCCACCCACCGCAGCTTCTCCAACGCCAGCCCCTTCTGCCTGCTGTGGCAAGCAGCATTTGACTTCTGTCCCACAAGCCGTGGGAAAGACGTGGTGAAATGGCCGGCGAGGAAGCAGAACAGCTGGTGGTCAGCATTTGAAGAGACAAGCAGCACTAGATTCACACTTGGCAATGTTTCAGATCTAAGCCTCGTAGCCAGCACTAAGCAGTCCCTATGCCAAAATCAAGACACTGATAGTTGCTTTTGAAGAATTTCCTGCCAAAGTCAATAACTGCAAGGTCCAAGCCACTAGGCTGAAATTTTCCCAAGGTCTTCATGTTTGTTGCATGAAAGGCTAATTTTTAATTTTACTATCAAGAGTGTTATTCGACTCCACCATCAAGGTTATCTTCATCCCCCTCCCAGGTTCACTGTGGAAAGGAAGCTGTACAGCAGTGCATATAGCTTGGTGGAACAGCAGGTGCTTCAATGCAGAAGGAATCCGGTTGAGTCCCTGGCACCTCCAGTTAACAAAATCTGGCACCAGCACTGAGAAAGACCCTTCTTTGCCTGTGACCTTAGGGTGCTTCTGCCAGCCAGAGCAGACAAAACTGAGCTAGATGGAGCAAAGGTCTGCATAAGGCATTTTCATATAAAAGCCAGTTCACAGGAACAATCTGTTTCCCACTCAGCTTCAGGGGGGGGGCCTGAACGCAAAGGAGTGCTCAAAACAAAAAGCATCAAAGAAAAAAGCTTACATGGTAAAGAGTGGCAGAAAACTAACCAAATATATAAATACAAGTATATGACGAGATTTTTTTTGTTAATATTACAAAGCCAATGTAAATTACAGTGTTAAAAAGCCCACCCTGAAAAATCACGCTGGTTCGAAAGGCAGTACCTGCCAGCTAATAAAGTACAGCATGAAGACATTAAACTTTAACAATGCAATCAACAAATGTCATTATAATGATAAAATTACTATATATTATAGAGCTCAATGGGAGACGGTTCAACCCGCCCACTTCACTGCAGGCTAATCATTTGTAAACTGCTTAGAAGTCTTTTGTTCAAGTGGCTAAATAAAGCATGGGCATAAGACCGAGTACCTGAACACATCCTGGAATCAATGCTGAATAGTGAAGAGGATGACTGTCACACCTGTGTGCTCTCCATAGGTCTTGGGCCAGCACGGCCAACGGTGAGGGATGATGGGAACTGGAGTCCTAAACATCTGAAGGGTCATAGGTTGGGGAAAGGTGGCGAAGAGGGTGAGTTCTCTGAGTTTTTGCTTTAAGATGCTAACCATTTCAAGTTCTGCAATTGCTCCAAGTTTTGCTGGTTTCAAGCAGCTAGATATAATATTTCTTGGCTGCAGGTGCAACTGTAAATAAGAACTCATTGAACGCAAGTTATTTTAGGCAGCTGAAATAGATGCTGTCATTGCAGGCATATTTTGTGATACACATTTTACAAATGTTAATTACAAACATTATATAACATTCACATTTTATACAAACATATAACTGCTGAATCTCTATAATGTCAGCAACTGGACAAAAATACCTTCCAAAATAAAAGGGTTAATTTCATCAAAAATAACAGCCTATGAAAAACACTGTAATATAAGTTTACAATCACTATGTGGTTTAAAATTCAGGTGGTAGCCGTGTTGGTCTGACGCAGTTGAAATAAATAAAAAAAATGTCCAGTAGCACCTTAGAGACCAGCTAAGTTTGTTCTAGGTATAAGATTTCGTGAGCATGCATACTTCTTCAGCGTTTCCGTGTGCTGCGCTGGTGCTGGCTCGCCAGAGCAGCTTCGTCACGTTGGCCACGTGACCCGGAAGTGTCTTCGGACAGTGCTGGCTCCCGGCCTCTTAAGCGAGATGAGCACGCAACCCCAGAGTCAGTCACGACTGGCCCGTACGGGCAGGGGTACCTTTACCTTTAAGGTGCTACTGGATAATTTTTTTATTTATGTGGTTTTAATCAAAGATACCCAAAAGGAATGACAGAAATACAGAAATATCACAAAGAGCCAGCCAGCCACTTCTCAAAGCAAAAAAAAAAAAAAAAAAAAGACACTGAAGTAACAACATGTATATGCCACTTGTATATACAAAAACTTCTAAGCAGTTCACAAAAGTATAAACCAGAGCATAAATAAAAACAGTTAAAAACAGGTATTTGAAGATATTCAAAAGACTTCAATAGCAGCTAAAAAAACACAAAGTGTAACATCCAATTGTCCGGATAGGCTTGCCTAAGCAAAAAATGTTTTCAGCAGTCAGCACAAAGAGAGCAATGAATGAGCCTGACAGATGTCAATAGGAAGGAAGCTCCAAAGTGTGGGGACTGCCATACAAAAAGACACTTATCTTACAAATGTGGCACCGATAACACTGCCAGTTCCTCAGACTGAAGCAGTTGAAAAAGCATATACTGCAATTTCTGGAAGCCCCACACAGAGTGCATGGCGGCAGTCCTATCTTGAAGTCAGCAACGCCTGGACCACTGCGGCCAAGCTCTCTTGATCCGAGAATGGTAATGGGTCATTCCATGCCAAATCACCTGATTTTAATACTCGGCCATGCTCTCACGACTCATACTTTCTTCAAAAAAAAAATATTATGTGTAGATACCTATGAGATAAGCTCAAAATAATATTTTAAGATATTTTTGGTCCAAAATTGGGTGCAGGAGAATTTTTTGAAAATTTCGATTTTTGTGAGATTTAGCCTAATGCAATTTCTGCATCAGTGTAGAAAAAACCTCCTGTTTCGCTTATTTTTCAACCGATTGGGCTTATTTTGGTATCAAAATTAAGCTAATTGTGGTCTCTTTCAAATAAGGTACAAAAAGGGTCTTAAGTGCCACAGAAAAGGGTCACCGACTATTCAAAGTGAATTTTTGTTCTTCCCGGTAGGTTCGATAAGCCATAGCACGCAAACCACAACTAACACATGTTTCATACTTTGTTGTAGAATGAGCTAACCATGTACTTGTTATGTTTTAAAAATAAGGAGGGTGTTTTTTGCGGTTATAAAATAAATTGATTTTGAAGTAAATTTTTTACCAAAAAAAATTACTTTTTTTGGACAGGTTTAAGGTCTCTTTTGAGCCTGAAATAACTCACACATTCGTGAGAATAGTTAAAATGGTACCCTCTTATGTTACAATGTCATCTGAAGTTATTTTAAAAAGTTTTTTTGCTTATTTAATAAAAACAAAATATATCTCAGAGCCCTTGTTCATTTTATGGTGTAAAACACTTCTGCAATGATTTGGTCATTTTTTGTGTTGTTTTTGTTTGTTTTGTTTCTCAAAGGCCATAGCTCTCATTTATTGCCTCGTCATCAAACTGACGATTTTGCCAACAAGAGACCCTCCTTTTCTGTGGCACTTAAGATCATTTTTATATCTTATTTTGAAAGAGACCACGTTTAGCTTTATTTTGATACCAAAATAAGCCCAGTCGGTTGAAAAATAAGCGAAACGGGAGGGGGTTTTTTCTACACTGATGCAGAAATTACATTAGGCCAAAATTTCAAAAAAATCTCTTGCACCCAATTTTGGACCAAAAAACTTAAAATATTATTTTGAGCTTATCTCATAGGTATCTACACATAAACTTTTTTTTGGAGAAAACCTGAGTCGTGAGAGCACACGGCACCAGGTGATTTGGCGAGGAATGGCCCCAATACCTCTTGTACCAGACACAGCAGGGAAAAGGCACTTCAGCTGAGCCTATCTGGGCCTCCAGAGACTATGCTGGATCCAGAAGTCATGCCTTTTATCAAAGGCAGATATCTAGGGCAGTGTGACCAGTGTGTTCACACCAGGCATGGAAGCTTCTGGGCACCACAACTATGAGATCCAATGGAAGGCGAGAGGCAGGTTGCACAGGGCGCCACGGAAATTTGAGACACCAAGGTCACCTCTGCTTTTATAGAATATGAGCAGCTAAGGGCCCAGTCAAGATTGTGAATCAAGATGGTTTCATATAGAAGTAACACAATACAGAGCATTTTGACCCCGAGGCGAACCACAAAATGCCACCTCCGTGCCACCGCCAGGGAAGATCTACATCTGGAATGAGAGGGTGCGTGAAGATCTACATTGGAAATGGGGGGGGGTCAAACAGTTGGAATGAAAGACTATTGCAGGGTGCGGGGGAGGGGCTTGCTCTGAATCACCCTGGGCAGGTGCAGAGAGCAGGAGACCCCAGAGGGCAGCCCCCACATTTCTTCCTTAGGAAGGAGACTGGCAGCACCTCCTATTTGTCGAGAGACTGCTGTAGAAGTGACTTTGGTGGATGAGTTGCCAAGGAGGCAGCACATCTGGCCTCCAAGGAGCGCACCACAGCCCTCGTTGCCATCATAGCAAATGGACAGCTTTGATCAGAATGCCAAAACTCTATACAACATTACTTGTCCTGTTTTTGTGCATGGAGATTCCTGTTCTCAGGATCTAGTTCAACCTTTTGGGGGCCAAATGCTGCATTGGTATATGGCCAATCCTATGGGGGCCAAAGTGCAAAAATGGGCACGAGCACTTAAAAAAGAAAATTCAATGACAGCTTTGGGGGTCTTGGCATCAC